TTAATCTTTTATAAGCACTTGTCAAAAATTTATGAGTTGAGCCACGTGGATAGTATGTATGGCATGTCGAGATATGGCCTAGATATATTATTTTCTAATCTCAATGCTAATTTGGTTTCTAATTTAAGCAAAGAGTAATATTATTTAGCAACACTAGTGTTAAGCACCATTTAGGTGATAATTATATGACATTAAATGATAAATTGATTTAAATGCAAAGTTACATAACTCGAATCTATAAAATGTAGTCATCTAGACCGGTGCTAGAAAGCATTAAAAAAAAAATGATTGTGCCACTTCGAATTGGAATTCTTCATATATTCTTCCTTTTGAAGAAAATTTCACAAATAATTAAAGTAAAGATGAATTGTAGTTGACTGTATGTTCTATGAGTTGATAATTATATAATCTACAAATGATAACTCTCACACATCACAACTTCTATTGAAACATATTCCACAATTCTGATTACGCATGCTCTAGCATTGAGCCTACATTGAGCTTGGACCATACGTCTGTCTACATTTCAAGTATTGTGCTTACATTGTCTTGGCACACTTACATCTTAGGGTGATGTTTACGTCAAACTTCATTACAGATTACTAATGCATCAAACTCCAAACCAAATTCACACATCATACACTTGGGCCTCTGACTTGAGCACATCGTGTTCTAGTTTGAGACAATCCCGTGTGTCACGACGTGATCACTTAGTGACATCCAGCTTAGGCTAATCACGACGTCTGATCAATATTACCATTTCCACACAATCACATAATGTTCAAGTCCTGAGTGACATTGTACATCAATATAAGCTGTCTTGGGCATAATTACATTATAATCAAATATTGTATTTAAGTAGAATACAAGTCATAATCCCCCTCTATAGATCAAGCCCCTGTTTGGTATTAATTAAAATTAAAATTTTAATCTAAATCAAAATTAATAATCAATTTTAACCACATATTTTTATTGGTCTCACAACATTTCAACCACACATTTCACTAACTCTATCAAAATATGTTAAAATTTTGATTTTAATCTCTACCAAATAGGATCTAAGAATGGCAATGAAGTTCGAGACGGAGAATTTCATTCATCATCTCCATTCCACTTATGTAACGTCATGATAAGGGCGAGGTCCTGCTTCATTTTATTTTAAATTAATTTATTTAATTTTTTTCATTACTTATTATACACAACAAATTAATAACTGTACGTAGAAAATTAAAATTGAGCAGCTGAAAAATAAAACAAGATCACATCAATTTATACATCTTTATCCTTTAGTACGATTTTAACATGGGACAAAATAAAACTCCAAAAAAGTTTCACTATTAAATGATATGAACAATGAATCCAAATGGAAGTGCCGAAGAAAATGTGTTTTAGAAGTAGTATATAAAAACTAAAAAGGATAACTTCAAAATATCATACTTTTGTCCAAAAAAAAAAAAAAACTTAAAAGTGCCTCCTCCTACAATTTTTAAATACACATTTTCATTAAATATTTTATGTTTACCTTTGTTTATATTTTTAAATATATCTCACTTTCATCCCATTTTACCCTCATTAATTTCTATTACATTACATTATATTTTTCTCTCTTTAATTTTCAACCACACAATCTTCTATAAAATAATATTATACATAAATCGAAAACTGATTTTTTTTAACTACTCATTTTTCAAAAAAAATAATATTTTACTCATTTTCAATTCTACAAAATCGGGGCTAAATCAATATTTTGAAATTTCATTGAAAAATCAACATTTTTACAAATTAAATATTAAGTTAACATATATATTATTGCGTAAAGTTAAAATATTTTCATCTTTTTATTTAAAAACAACATTTATGCATCAAAAAATATGCTTTTCCAATCATAGAGGTTATAAACATGCCAATCACGCAATGGACCACTGCTCTGGCCCCGCTTGGTAATAACATGTCAAGATCCAGGGTCCATCTGCTTCGCTTTACAAAGCTGTTCTTCGGGGACCATAGCTTTTACAAATCAACTATGGTAATTATTTTTTTACCCCTTATTAAAAGAGTAGGAGTCGGATGGACGTTTTTTAACTCATCGTGCACGACTATCCTAGTTTAGGTCCTTTTGGGCAAGAGTTTCGCTACAGAAATAGGGTGAAACATAGGGTTAAAAACAAACTGCACAAGTATCGATGCATGATTGGAGAGTTTGAAAAAATAGACAACAACTCGCCGAAACATCAGTCTATCTTTTACTCCGTGTCTTTCTACCTATCCATTTATCATTACACTTTCGACAATACCTATAGATTGGTACTGACTTGTGAACTTAACACTAATATGTTGATTGTTGGTTTTAGTTATAATTAAAGTTAGAAAGTAAATTATTTGTACATTTGAATTCCCACAGAGAAAAAATGGCTCAAGTTAAATTTTTTTTAATTAATGTGACTAGAAAGTATAATCCCTGTCAAGAAGACAAGGCATCCCCAGTAACATGATCTTATTAACATGTGTTTTTCTTGTGTAGGGCCACATAACCTTGTACAGAACTTGGAAATCTTGTGGTTTTCAAACTGCAATATGTATCCAAGTACGTGATGCGATTCTGTAAGTGAAGGCAACCTAGGTGGCTTGATGATGGTCACATGTAATGTTCTATATCCAGTCTTATGGAACTCGACTATGTAACAGACAATTTTAATTTCATTTTCAATAATAATGCTCGTAGCATTGAATCTTACCATTCAAACATGAAAACGCCGCAATTTAATATTAATTAGAACATGTAGTGTTTGAAAGTGTCACATTATAAATTAAATAATGATACACATATAGGAAGCAATGGTCATGTGATAAATGATATGGGGTGAAAAGAATAATGCTATTTACAGTTGCTCACTAATCACTCTACGTAGTATACATGTGGCGATTAATAATTTGATATATTAATGTGGTAGTTTTTTATTGCCTTATGCATCAAATTACTAACCGTCACATGTATGCTACGTAGGACGACTGCGTTAGTCAGCGATTACAAATAGAATTATTCAAGCAAAAATGATAAAATTAATTCGGTGCAGATTTGAGACTCAGTTATTACTTATTAATCTTAAAGTCACTTCACACGAGGATAATTCCTCAATTGTACAAGGTAACACTGCTATTATTAATTGCATTATTACAATTTTAAAATGGAATGATGCTTTCTATTATTGTCTGTAATCATCATCACCAATTTATAGCATTTCCAAAAAAATTCTAAATATTTAAATTGATTGATCAATTGACATTTAAAAATTTATATTAGATAAAATATAAAGCGAAAGTAATAAATGTTTCTTTAGAAAAGTAAAATGAAGAACGAAAATAGAGAACTTATTGGAGCGTATGAAAATTTTGACTCTATAAAATCTAAATATGCTTTCTATAATACATAAAATGCTATTTATAAATAAAAAACCTTTTGGAGAAGCTCTTAGATTTGGGCGATGAGTCCATGAACCATCACAATCTAGGCTATTGATGATTATTATTTATGATGGGCAACGATTTTTTTTAAACATACACAATGGATAAAACTAAATCTAGATGAACAAATATAATTAAAAGAGGTGTGATAAAAAATTTATTACATTTTTTTAGATCGGTAGAATATATCTCACCGAACATTCATCCTTAAAATTGAGTGCATAAATTCAAGGAATATATTTCTGGTACATAATGTGGTGTTCATAACGATGTCTACCCCCTCATATGAAAGGGGATCCACTTTGAATAAATCATATTTTATTTGAAGTAATCTCCCTCCATGTGAAGAGCATGAATACCATTATAGATATCCAAATGTACGTGCAGGATCACTTTAAATTTAAGGTCCCGTTTGGGAAGGATTTTGAGAATTGATTTTTTGATCGTTAGATGAAAAGTGAGGTCCACTTATGAAAGAAAAAGTTAAAAATTACGGTTGGAATAATGAAATAACGGTCAAAAAATCAATTTTTTGGAATAAAAAATTCCTCACAAACAGGCTCTAAATATTGTTGAACATTAGAGCCTATTCGTCTCTTATTGTGAGAGAAATTATAGAGTTTTGAATAATATTTTTTTAAAGAATGAGTAGTTAAAATTTAAAGAAATTATATTATTTTGTGTGTAGAATATTTTATTATATGAATGTGTGATAGAGGATGTTATTGTAGCAAATAATTTGATTTGTTAAATGATGACAAACATGGCTCAATGTTACCGCAAATAAACAAATGGCTTCACAAGCCACTGCACGAAGTGGTTGCTTTACGTCCCACTCTCTTTTATTTTTGTCCTCGCGTCTTTTCATGATGGCGTACTTTTTGCTTATTGCAATGGTCTAAAACCATATGTATAATTCCAATTTTCTCGTGTTTTCAAAACAAAAAGATTTTCTCACGTTTTCGCATTTTTCTACAAATATTTATTATGTAGTGTGGTGTTTTTTATTCCATATTTTACTATGATGTGGTTCTATAAATTTTACCGTAAGAAGTATTTTTGTTCGAAAGTATAGGATCAAAAAATTTAGGAGTATGTACAAATAAATGTACTGTTAAATTTCAGAGATATAATATTAAACTCCATTATATAATTAGAGGTGTTTTCGTGAGTTTATTGGAATCGAATTCATCCATATATCAATTTTAATATTAATTATGCAAAAAATACGAAGATTGCAACTACCTAACCCGACTCCTACTTTTAATTACCTATTCAATGGTTCTAATAAAACCATGAATCTCATGGGCAATACAAAATATATGATGGTTTTGCTATTGTAAAGGATTTGTACATCGAGTTACATATAGTAAGGATTAAGTATAGTTTATATGTCAAGTCGCAGTAAAAACAAATATAGACACTATTTCTTTGTTTATCTATATGTCTTCGATTGTGATTAAGCCGTAAAAACCATGATTACCAACACTATGTCGAAAAACACTTCTTGTAGCATCATTCCAAATGATAATCGCAAATTGAGGAACGTTGTTGTATTAAACATGAAGAAACGCGAAATAACTAATCATCGAAAAACAAAACGCACCCATACATACAAAGGGCCATTGAAATATTTGCTTTTTGCCCCATAGCCATATGCTACAAACATCATAGATGCAACAATCTTGAGGGTTCCAACGATTTACAATAAAGGAAAAAAAATCATTTATTTTTAATTTGTATAAATGTGTATACAAACATACAAAAATGAGTATAAGATACTAAAAACCCATTTATAATTATTTCCATTTATACCCCTCTTCTCGCTCCTTAACTCTCCTTAATACCCCTTCCACAGCCACATCAAATGCATCCTTTATGCCCTCCAATCCTTCATTGGGCTTTGCATACACAAGTTTTGGTAAAATTTCAATCACTTTTTCTCTCATTTTTATAACTTTTTCTTTGCTAATTTTTTCAAGAACACTCTTTATTGAGGTCCCATTTTTCACCTCATTCCGGTCTATGAAAACCGAGTAACTTTCCGGTTTGGTCGGCAAGAACCACTCATACTGAAGGTAGGCTGACCGATGCCAGAAGAAAACCGGGATAGAACCGGCTACCATGCAGTCAAAAATGGATCGCCGGGTGAAACTATCCCCCCTAGGCTGCAAACAAAAATTCGAGTTAAGAAATGTGGATAGAATTTCCGACGTACCATTTGCGCACTTTGACCCGGCACAGTCCATGACTCGGCAAGAGTCTGACTCGTTATAACATTGATTCAGTAAAATCCCCCGGAAATCGTTCTTTATAATCCCCCTTGTTGCGCCGGCGAAGCAGAAGAGGGTGTTCCGCCGCCGTGTGCGGACAAATTCTTGCCAATTGATGAAGTCGGTGGCGGAGCTGGGGTGGAATCCGGTGGGGTAAGGGATTCCGACATCGAAGTAGTCCCAAGGGTTTCGCTCAATCAACAACCGTGTGATGTTACGCATTTTGGGCATGTAAATGCAACTCGAACCCCAGTCTTCCTCTTTCGATCTGCGAAAATCCCATGAAATCCGGCCCATGGAGATAAAATGGTCCCAACCATTGGATTTCTTGAAGTAAGGTTGATCGCTCACCCAATCAAGCATCATCTTGCAGTGTTGATCGCGTTCTTTTGCTGTTGAGTTGCTGGCGAACAAATACTTCTCGATTGCAAGACCAGTGTAAAACGGAATATAAAAAGCTGTAGCAGATTCCGGTTTCAAGGTTCTACACCGGTAATTCAGCATGCGATTATGGTAAATTAGCTCCGTTGAAAATTGGTCGGTCCAAAACCAAGATGGCCTTATATTGTCCGGGATAACTTTTGAAATCCCGGTGGCAGTTTTGCCGAAACCGGAGTTTGAAAGAGCATCGCAGCGTGAATTCCATGGGTTCAAATCGTGGCAATTTTTCACTATCTCGGAGTTAAAAAGTGGTGGGAGGTCGTAAATGTAGACTTTACCATATGGGCAGCTTCCGGAGGTCGTGGAATTATTATTGACAGTGGAAACAATTGAGGTTTTGGCGATGGAAGTGGAAGTAAGTTTTGGTATAGTGGGTGAAGGGTTGGGTGTGCCGGCGGTGGATAGGTACAAGGGGATCGAAGGGGCGGAGAGGAGGATGAGGAGCTGGAGGAGGACGACGGCGAGGAAAAACCATAAGCGGCGGTGGTGGAAAGAGAGGTAGGGTTTTAATGAGTCGAACAAATTCTTACGATCTAAAACTTCTGGGGTTTTGGATTTTGAGTTTGCCGGTCGGTCGGTAGATGCGTTATTGGAAATGGGAAGCATCAGTGGTGGTTTCCGCCGACAAATTGGTGGTGTTTCTGTGAACTAAACGTTAAGCTTCAGTAGCAGAGGTCGGAGAGCGGAGGAATTGGCGAAGGCAGAGGTCGGAGATCGGAGGAACTTGTGCGTGGAATTGAAGCTTAAAATTTGGGCGAAATGGTGGAGGGCATGGTTTGAAGATCAGTAGAGAATAGACGCGTGTACGCTGGTGTTTTATCAGGAGGAGAAGGGAAACCGACAACTTGAGGAGCTAAATTGAAATTAGGCCTTTTTATCAATGCAAATTTTGCTTAATTACGTTACCTACCAAGGAAAGGTCCTCATTATACCAAATTTATTTCAATTTTTTATTTTCAAACTCAAAATGATATCATTTTCACTACAGTCCAACCTCATCAACTAGTTTGATGTCTTTGATCACTCTCCTATCCTATTTTAAACTTGTAGATGAATAAATACAAATTTAAGTACATAATACTAAATTTGATTGGACAATAAAAATTTTGTTCATTTTTGCTTTGTCACGTTCATTACGGCTTAGTTAACATAGTCATAGTCTTTAGTTTTTCTATAAAATGTAATTCAGTTTTAATGGAGACCGTCTTTTGTCTATGTAACACATTGTCACTTAATTTAATGAAGTGAATTACTCCAATTAACATATTCGTACAGATAATTTTGTATAAGTAGATCGATGTCAACATGTATGGAATTCAAAATAATGGATAGATGCATGCTACGTATGCATCCGTCAATCAAGTTGTACAAAATTTATGTACATATAATATAACAAAGTTTAAATTATACGGTGCTTCATGGGAGATTATTTTCTTTAATGATGAATAGCATTGACTTTGGACTTAAATGCTTGGGTACAGAGAAGAATGTGTTGCCGGTTACGTAACTCAATCCATGGATGAAAATGCTACACAGGCAAGATTTATGGACTATTTGACCCATATTTTTTAAAAAAGAAATACATTCTTAAACAATGAATTTACATTATTTCAACTACACATTCTTCAATAAAATAATATTATACACAAATTCAAAATTTTTCATATTTTTTAATCACACATTTCCCATCAATACACAATTTAAAAATACATTCTTATGAAAAATGTGTCTCAAAAAAGGGCTTATTGTGTGTAAAACGAGAAAATTATTTTATTTGAATAAATAATATCAGGGCATGTTTGACTAAGCTTTTTTAAAGTAGATTTAGAAAGGATAATTTCTTGCGTTATTTTCTATTAAAGAAAAAATAATAATCTTATTATTTGCAAGAACAATGATTTTTTTTTTAATCTAAATTTCTCAAATATGATGTGTGTTGACATCCGAACTTCGATCTGGTAAAAATAGTTTGCTAACCCCACCTCAGTTAAACGTAAGTTCGGCCCACACTCTCAGGTCGGAGTTACCCGCCGTTATCTTAAAAAAATATCATGATTACCCCTTATCACATCACCCTATTAATCAGAGACACTTGCCATAGGTGATGTCATCGCCGCCCGAAATGGCCAATTCCAAGTCCTCGAATTCCAACCCCCTACAGGTCATCATTACTTTGGCAATACATTGGCACATGATCACCAACCTCATTGACCAATAATTGGAGAATTCGGCGGCCCGAGTTGCAAGCTCGACACTGTTGCTAATTTGATTGATTTGATATAATTTCTACTAAAATCTGTATAAATAGTTGAGTAGGACCCTTGTAAAGGCAAAGCGAATTGAGATAACGACTTATGACACTATTACATCTTTGTGATCTTTTCTAAACACAAATCCCCTTTTTTCTTAAAGTTGGTTCAAAATCATATTTGCTAATTTTGACATCAACAATGTGCATGGTATCCAAATGGCCTATTCAGTACTCTCTACACGCTTACTGCTTAATTTAGCTTGTAGATCTCATTAGTTTAAAGTAAAATACAATTTGTGGCTCAAATCAAAAGTTTATGACAACTAAATAAGCGGGTCAGGTTGTAAGTATGCTAGAACTATTCAAAATTGATCTAATGTAATTAGAATGAATGTAAGATTTTTACGATTTCAATTTTTCATTTTACAAGAAATCCATATAAATTCAGACAATATTTTTCAGCACTCCATTTTAAACTAAATTGAAAAAACTAATACAACATAGAGTGACCGCAATCACCTTATCTCCAAATTACACACAAAGGACAAGAAGAACGATGAAAACATGTTCGAGAAACTAAAATAAGACAGTAGTAGATTTCGTGCAATTTCAAATTAAATATGGACAAAGAAAAATCTTGACCTTAGAGAACTTCCACTTCAAACTGGAGGGAATTAATTAAAAATTCGTGATGAATATTTTAATCGAGCAAGGTATATTTATTTGTTAAAATCAAGATGGAAGGGGGCATGCCTGCTTCATTATTATCGTAACAATCTAGGAAATATTAATTAATGCCGTTTAATTTGGGAATCTAAGCAAAGTACAGATACCTAATCACGATGAACAAGACACAGGGCCATCATCATAAAATAAACAATTATTAGCTCCTGATCCCCTTTTTTTGGGAAAATTAATTTTGTAAAAATGATTTTTAGAGAAAGTGTGATTAAAAATTTAGAAAATATTTGAATTTACATTTAAATTTATTGTATCGAGAGAACGTGTGATCAAAATAAATTTTAAGAAAAATAAGTTTTTAAATAATAGAGTTTAAACATGGGCTAAATCTGAATCCCTGTTTGGTAGATATTAAAAATTAAATTTGTAGTAGAGTTTTATAAAAGTTAATGGAATGTGTGGTTGAAAAAATTGTAAATTCTATTAAATACGTGGTTAAAATCTTATGGACTCAGATTTAAATTTTAATCAAATTTTTAGTGTTACCAAATAGGGGCTAAAAGAACATTCTAATCTATTTATATTTGAGGTCATTTTCTTTGTGAAGATTGTTATTAAATTTATTTTTTGAATGTTATTCTTTCGTATTTGTAATTTAAAACCTCGTACTGTGATGTATGCTACTTAAAATTTGTTTGTTCATTATATTGTACTTGAAATAACATACTACTTGTTTCGACGTGGATGAAAGATGACAAAATGGTAAAATCTTGAAGTAATTTGTGCATATCGAATATTAAAAATTAAATAAATTATAACTAATATATCTTTAGTCGATTCTAACATCCAAATCTCACTTTAGCAGTAAAAGAATGAAAAAATCAAGCTGATTTTATCGCACGCCTCATATCCAATAATTGATACAAAATAAAAAATAAAAATAAATGAGTAATTTTTATTTCTATTTTATAACAAAATTACATCAAACATTAGTGCCACGTATGACATCCGTTGTGATTTGTCTAGCTGCCTCCTATAGAGTACATGTTTAAGATGATCGAATACAATTATATTATTTTAATTTTTCTTTGAACGTTATCCTATGGTATTAACTTCTTCTTATCAAGTATTATAATTTCATAAAATCATAAATTTTCCTCATTCTGTGACCTAGAGATCTACAAAACATTCTATAACCAAGACACGTGCTAGGTCAACTTCTGAAAATTAAATCGCATAAAATTTATTTATCTAAATTCAACTAGTTGTCATTTTTTATTTTATTTTTTAAATCAACTCGATATCGGAAGTCAACTTTTCCAAAATCAAACAGCGTATTTTTATATAATTTAAATATATTAAATAAAATAAGTACTTAATCATTTCTTATTTTAATCTTAAACATACTAATGTTATGGCGTATTGATTTTTTCTCTTTTAATCATCATTGACTTTTAACTATTGTTCTTGGTGCAACTTAGTTATCACATACTCGAGAACTAGAACTCTATCCATAAAGTAACTTATCATTCTTAAAATTAATTAATTAATTAAAAGAGAATCAATAGATTTCATTTCAAAACCAGCATTAAATGAAGTGGCCTATAACTGAGAAAGTCAAGAGCGCATGTCGAAACAGAAATCTGATCTTCAACCGCTTATTTAGGAGGTGTTTGATAACCATTTTTTTTTATGTAAAAATGCATTTTAGAATAGTAACTTGATGGGAAGTGTGTGATTGAAAAAATAAGGAAATTTTTTTGATTTACGTGTAATATTATTTTAATAAAAAATGTGTGATTGAAAAGAAGAAAGAAAAATATATTTTAAAAAAAAATGAGTAACAAACGGGACTTAATCACTATGCCCTATTCCCATTATCAATGCCCATTAATCAAGCAGCCCCTCCTTCAATAAAAGATGCCCATTGACCAAAGTTGCCATTAATCAAATGGAAAATCAAAATTAATCAATTCAGTTTGTTCATCTTGACTTGTCAATTGTCACATTTAGCAGTTTTTCTTTGTCATCAACAAAGACAGATGGTCCAATCACTGCAATTTTCAGTCCAATCAATTAGCAAAAGACCTCAAAACAGTCATTCTTTTACTATTAAGTAAATGATAAAAAAATTTAGAAAAAGACAGCACGTAAAACATGAATAATCAGAATTTTCTTGTCATAATAATGGCTTCTCAACCTCTAGGGATGTATTACATAAGACCAACAATAAAGTTAGTTGAGTGGGTTCTACTGGTGTGGCATTGGCCATATGAGAGAAACTACTCAGTATGCTACCAGAAAAATGATAAATTAAAGACAAAACCTTGGTTCTTCAAATATTAAACGGTGACAAAAATTGGAGAACACTAGCAAAATTATTGACAAAATTGTTAATTCAATATAAAAGTTTTTCCTTGATGGCCAAACAAGAAGCTTAATTTTGTTTGTGAATATATTCAGTAACAAGATAGTGATGTTTAACTGAACTAAGTAAGAAATGAAAATACACGTCAAGGTGGATGATTCATAAATGAAATTGCCAGATGACTGAAATGCTTAGGACAATTTTTTCGTAAACGCAAAGATATTCATTTTCATTCATGTATCCACCGTCTCACTACGACATATTAAAACTTAAAAGATGGTGTTATGGCGGGGGATGGTGCTCAGTCGATGGTCGTGGCTCTTATGGGGTGAGTTTGTGGCGGTATATTCGACGATGGTGGAGCGCTTTTTGGTATAGATTGACTTTTGTGGTAGAGAATAGTAATACTGTTAGTTTTTTGGACGATTGTTGGTTTGGAGAGCAATTGCTCAAGGAGGGACTTCCCTCTTCAAATTGTATTGCTTTGGAACTGTCTACCATGATAAATGAAGTCTTCAATATACATAATGGTAGTCTCAGTTGGATCATTGTCTTTCAGCGGGGTTTGCAAGATTGGGAAATGGATGATTATGCTTTGCCACTGACATCTTTGTATGACGTGCACATTAGGGTCAAAGATAGTGAGTGTAGTAGGTGGAGGTTGACACGAGATGGTATCTTCTCAGTCGGCACGTATTTTAGATCCTTTTGGGACCCGTGGAGAGTTCATTCTCTTGGAAGATGGTATGAAAATGTAAATTGCCTCCAAATGTGACATTTTTACTATGGACGGTTGTCAGGGGACATGTGTTAACTGTGGATAATCTCTAGACAAGGGGTTTTTATGTTACAGAGTAGTGCTATATGTGTAGGAGAAATGGAAAGACGATTGACCACTTATTTCTTCCTGTGCTGCTACTCATTTGTTGTTGAACGATATTCTAGCGTCTCAACACATGAATTGGGTCTTGACATGGAAGACGTGTTAAAGGCATAGAGGAGAAAGTTTCGCAACAGGGATAGCAAACTTGTATGAGACCTTATTCCGTGTTGCATAGTATGGTGCGTGTGGAGAGAAAGAAACAGCCGTTGCTTTGATGATAAAACTTGGACAACAGAGCATATTAGAAATTTGTTTTATTTGACATTGTATATTTGATTTAATGCTACGGCTGATGGCATACAGATGGGCTGCCCAATTTTATATTATTCCTTTCTGGTGTAAATTGATAATACACTTCTTGTATATTTTTCATTGATTAATCAAATATTTGATTACCTTTCAAGAAAAAAATCACTGACACAATACATTACCTACCTAGTTGTTTTGATGTATCAGATAATCAAACAGAATGGTGAAAAAGGATTCAATGATGAACCCTAAATCTAAATCTAATTTACTGAGAATAAGACGTCACATGGAAAAATTTTCCAAGGGCTCCTTTCATATTTTTGTTACTGCAATTTCAATATTTCTATCTTTTCAAATAAGAGAAAGGAGCAGGACAAATCTGGAATAATTCAGCATCAAGTATCTGTTAATTGAGAGGAACAATAAAATTTTTAAAATACAGGGTATGGGAAAAAAAATGGCGTAGAAAAATGACTGAAAGTGATGCATCAACAATGTCACAGTATGAATGATGTACCAAGAGATTCATAGCAATAGTTTATTAAGCACGCCAGGAATCTAATAATACAACTTGTGAAAGGTTGCTTGTGAAGTCATTAATATTGCAAATGTAACTCAACGATGGACGCAACAATTTCTTTGTAGAAGACAGTGAAACCTTAAAACCACACTTCAATGCTCATATGACTTTTGGATTTATTAAGCTGCAAACAACTTATGTAGCATTTAATCATATCAGAGAGTCAAACCTCGACCAGGAGGTTCTATATTCTGAACTGGTGAAATCGGGGAACTGCAACACAAATCAACAAAAGTTCCTCTGAACTTCATATATTCTAGTAGATGGAGTATCTAAGTTTCACAGTAATAGGGGAATAAGAAATCATAGCTGACTCAGAAGTCATAGCTAAAGAACACCTCAGAATGCTTCATTTATTCGAACAATAGAGCATATAATAGTAATATTTTTACGATTGAAAAACCTCTTCATCACACAAATGAAGCAGACGTTATTTACTGCTTCTTGAGGAGCAGAGGTCCAACGTTATCTCCAGTAGCCTTATTGTGCTTCACATGGCTTCCATCACATAAAGGAAAAGTCCCAGACCTCCAACACCTGCACCAACAATAGCAATCAGATGAAGCATTAGACATCGAAACTCAACTTGATAAAACACCACCAAGATATCATCAATGAATACAAATAAATGAAACGAAGTAAAAAGCTAGAAATACGGTTAATTGAATGTTCCATCATGAAGAATTTTACTCTTATTACTTCACTGAAAAGAATAAGATAGATTCTAATAAATCATACTCTTCATCGGCATTATATTGCGCTATCAATTACAAAATTAGCATTTTTTATGAACGTGAATCAGCATCTTAATTGAACATCTTTCAATAGAGTTTTCTGTCCCATGGAAAAGGATTTTTCAACAGTATTACTTCTGAACTTCTGAAATCACCATGGATGAAATTGATATTAATACAAATTCCTGGATAAACAGAACTTGAAGGCTGAAGCTATTTCATCTCTTTTCTATTATTACCTATCTACAAATAGAAAATGAGGGCCTAAAAGCTCACCACAAACCTCTCCATTAACCATGTTCCACATTGGTTCGATCCAGCGTCATATCTATCAAAAGATCTAATTAAATCAAATTCTTTGCATCAGCCTCCAACCACTTTAATTTTAATTACCTCTTCCTCGTCTAACATCTCTACAAGGATTTCCAATTTCATTGCTATCGTGGACGATGACTTCTTTGAGTCTGCACAATTCATGCCCCAACCACCTAAGTTGACATTCCCTTAATTTATTTTGAATTAGTGCCATGTCCACTTGGGACATAAATCCATCATGCTCTAATCTTATACAATACATCCTCTAAAGTCCTCGTCCCGGATTAATAATCATACCTAAATACCTAAACTATTGCTAGTTGAGACAATACAATCTTATATAAAATGACTCTACTACAACCTTTACTTCCACTTCGACTAAAAGTGCATTCCGTACCTTTGATCATAGTTCTATTTATCTGTAACATTAAACTCCGAAATGCTCCTTCTTAGTTCTAACTTGATTTATGCCGTTTATAATCTCAATCAACTAAAACTATGTCATCATTGAGCATGTACATTGTTGGAATTCTCACATATACATGTCTCTCGTAAGCTCATCCATGATTAAAATGCCTTGATACAAGCTTGGGTAATAGAAAATTCTCTACAATTAGGGCTATGTTGAAAATATTAACATCTTTGAAGAACAGACACTCTCAAACCAAGTCTACAAGACATATAATCAATAAATTAACCATTGATATGTTACACAATGTATGTTCTACTGGCAATTCGAACCAACCCATTGCAGTAAAATTTGAAAAGGTGAAGAAAACCTGCAGTAGGCAGTGAGGGGTTTGGCGAGTTCAGTGACAATGACTGAATCCACCACTTTTTCTTCAGTTTTCCTGATGTCTGGGTTGATTGCCTCCGCGGCTTTCACCACCACCATCCGCCGTGGCCTTGCTGCAACTGTTGTCGTGGGTCTGCCGTACGAGAATAATCCAGATTGAATCGTGCTAGTCAAGGACGCCATTGAAACTGCCAAAGTTTGATAAATATTGATAAATCAATGTCTAGTGGAAATTCAATGCATAAACTCGATTGTTGTACTCCTGTTGGCTGTGGAGGAACAGTGATTATCTTATAAAAATTGAGCGAAGCCAATGAACTTGTGGCGACCACGCTCCCTTGCAAATCGAGTGGATGCCATTTTACTCTTTTAATTTTCCTTTTCTTCCTTCCTGAATTTTGATTTTTATTTTCTGACGTGCAAAGTTTTTATTACGTGTCTTCTTTTCATTGGTCGTGTGTCGTAAATGGACCCACGTAATCAAATATTCACGGACGAGAAAAACCCAATATTCATTTCCAGGCAGCCATGGACTAATACTAATGAATTTCAATCCCGCGCCCGATAACATCAAATCAACAAACTCAAAGACTCCCTTTGCTCTCGATCTACGATACCCACGCACCCCCCCCCCACACCACGCCACCCTCTACCGACGCGATAATTACTGGAAAATTTGGATAAAAAAGTGCTTTTCTTTTCTTTTCCTTTCCTTTCTTTTCTTCTTTTTCCACGGCAATGGGGAGGGTAACAAAGGAGTGTGGAGTTTTTGTATTTGTATTTGTTTCTGTAATTATTTTGTGCGCGGAATTTGGTCGCTCTGCTAGATCTGAGCAGGAAATTAGGGAAAGGTTTTATGGAAATTTAATTAATTCTTCAGCTCCAGGAAATGGAGAGGGCAGTATTGCGAAGATGTTTGATCGAGTTTTGGAGAAAGAGTTTTCTGAAAATGATCAGCCTGAAAGTAAGATTTTTCCACTTTATTTTCCTGATTTTTGTATGGTCTTTTTAAATTTTGACTTGTTTTATTGAATTGACCTTTAATAGGCTAATTTCTAATGTTAATACCTGAAGCATTTTGTTTAAGATTCTATAGAGTATTTATTTACGACACTTTAACAGTTTGATAATTAGTGATAGAAGCTTAATCCTGACTAGGACTTTTGATTGGCGGGGAAGAGAGGATATGTTGTTTGTTTCCCATAAAATTAGAAATCATAACAATCATCCAAAACTTCCTAATCGTAAAAACTATTGCAAAACAACATAAAAATATGTCAAGGCATACCAGTTCAGGGTAATAAAATAATGAAACAATAGCTTTCACGACGTTCTGTAGAAAAAAAAAATTAAGAACAATTAAAAAACTTTAAAGCAGCATATCTTTAAAATTAATCTGCAATCAGCTGCCATAAAAATATTTCAGCACTTGAATTTAGTACATTTGGATTAATTATTTAAGCGTAACAGATATTAAGACTGGTATTACACGACGCAATGTCATAATTTTTCACCTCCAATTCAAGATTTGCTAGGACATGGGACTTATTAGAATGATTCAAAGGGTTTTGGATTGATTTGTACAGTAGAAGGGCATTACTAAGGAGCACAGTTCTCAACACCCTAAGGTTCTACCCTGAGGCATATTATAGCGTAAGTCAGGGCATTTAAGCTTAAGCTTTGAGGGTCCAATGAATGCGTTGCATGAGGAATCGTCCTTGGTGCATTTTCTGATAACAGTGCTTCTTAATAATACTTATCCTTGATTTGTCATTTTCTGCATCATGGTTATATCCTGTTTTCATCTATTGTATTTCTGGAAAGTATTTTTCTTCTCTGCTTTCTATAATTAGAAAATCTTGATTTAGCGGGTACTTAAGAGAAAAACACTTCCGCAGAATCATAGTTTGGACACTCTTTTATAGATAGCTGAATTGCTGCATGACCAGCCGACAAATTGAACCTTTGGTAAGCTATGCAGACCTCTCCCGGGTAAAATGTCTGATAGAGCTTGAACTCCTGATAAGAGACTTTCGTGTGTTTCTTCATTAGTGTTTAACAAAATTCTATAGGGAATTTTTGTAAATTTCATCCTATACACTAAATTACATCGCTATTTATACAAATACAGAGTAGAAAAATGACTCTCAAGTGGAGAGAAATTAGAAACAGATTAAGACAAATCAGGAAACACAGTCTTAATCAGGAAACAGATTTCCTTCTTGAAGAGGAAAATACTAGAATTTGCTCCAAATTATCTACCAGATATCTAAGAATTAAAAATTCAATCTTATACATTTTTTAATACTTCCCCTCAATACAGTACTGTTGGATTTTATGCACAATATTAAGGAGATGAAAAAGAAGATCAACACAAGAATTTACGTGGTTCGACGGTATGCCTACGTCCACAAGAGCGAAGTAGAGATATTTTTTATTCAATTGTGAAAAATAGGGTTACATCATATTATTTATACTAACCCTAGTTTGGGCCTATATAAGATTTTAAGGTCCGTACAAGAAATACCCCTGTACATCGGCCCATTTGATTTAGGACTCGTGTTCCACTCTATATGAGCCACATGCACAACAAGTACAAGTATGTCTGTCATTCCTAACTTTTATGATTTTCAAAAGATTTTCTAGGAAGGCCATTTGTGAGAATATAAACTAATTGTCTATCTGTAGGAACAACTGGCATACATATAACTAGCGTTTGTAATTTCTCATTATTGAATTGATAATTTAACTCAACATTTTGGTTAACGTCACGTTGTACAGGATTATAAGCAATATTGATGACATCTTTGTTGTCACAACATAGTTTCATGGGAGTAATAGATGAAACCTTCAATTCCTCGATAAGCTTGGCACAAGATTTAATTTCCTTCCTAAGAGCAATTGGAAGATTAAGATTATTCTCAGAATTTGTAGTACCTGTACTTTTCAAAATGTTTCCATCTAGTTTAGACTCTCAGTAGTCTGGAGAAGTAAGATGTTTTATCCTACAAGAATCTCGTCTTCCAGTGTAGCTTGGAGTTCGGTAGGCAGTGCAACAAGTGGTGAAGCCCCATGATGTTGAGTGGATTAGTAATGGCATATTAGCTTGGGCTATGTAATAAGTGGTGATAAGTAAAAGGATGATGATTGAGATGACTCAAGAACTGGAGCGGGTGACCCAGGAACGTGAAATGGAAGAGGAAAATCAATTTTCTGAAAGTTATCTTCTTTTCCTGATGTTGAGTGATCATCAGTAACGGCATATTAGCTTGGATTATGTAATAAGTGGTGATAAGGAAAAGATGATGATCGAGATGACTCAAGAACTGGAGCGGGTGGCTCAGGAACGTGAAATGGAAGAGGAAAATAAATTTTCTAGAAGTTATCTTCTTTTAGGTACAATTTTTGCCCTGAAGAGAAGTTTTAGGAGAGAGAGATTTGTCATGGAAAAAGGTGACATCCACGAGGACATATAATTTTTTTTGGTACCTTGGCTCATAACATTTGTCATCTTTTTTTGGCTAGCAGGATATCCAAGAAAAACACATTTAATGGCTCTAGGATAATGCTTCTATTGGTACGATGAATGTGGACAAAGGCAAGATAACCAAATACTTTAGCGAAGTGAAAATTTTAGTTGAGTGTAACTTTCTGTGGTATTTCTCGTAGGTGTCTATTTTTCTCTTCGCAATCTTGTTTCGTTCGGGACAGATTTTTTACATAATAGGGAAATGGTAGAGTCTGCTCCAAATAATCTGCCATCTATAGAAGAATTAAATATAAAAATTTTCTGGAGTTCTCCACAAGTGTCTTCCATCTTGTTGTGTCTGGTTAACATTGGATCACTTTCTTCTTGTATCTTCAAAGGTTCTGATGGAAGCAGCTTCAACAGCACCGTAGCCGATCAACAGGTAAATTTGACATTTCTTTTAAAGCACCATATAAGTTTTCCAAAGCGTGCGCAGTGAAATTCATTTTAGCATTAGTTTTCTTGATATATCAAGTTCTAAAGCATACTGTTCATTGAAATGGTGTTTACTGAAGGGTTCACTTCAACATATTTGAAGATCGAAGGTTTTCTGTTATCCGATTTCCTTATAGAAGTGGGTACTTGTAATGTGAAACAAAATTTTCATAATATACTCTCTATCCGTGTCATGCTTTTAATGCATTCATTGCATCTGTTTATGTTGGTAAATTATTGTGTATACATCTGCTTGTGTAGGTAAGTTATTTCAGCCTCACAATTACATGGTCATTACTCTGTCTTCTTTCTTCTGAGAAACCTGGATCTGATTATTTGTATTTTTAGGTACTGAGTAATTTTATTTAAATCTAGAAATAGAGAGTTGATGACTTCTCAACAATCCTTTTCTCGATTTGATGATTGAATGTGATGATGTATAGCTAAATTGATTTTGGCCTAGTTTAATTTCTTAGTGTGATTTTGATATTAGTGAGATTCAGCTAGTTTGTATTTTGTGCTAAGATAAGATTCTATCATGCTTGCCAGGCTGTTCTAGAGACTGTGGCTAAAATCACCCGTGAGAAGATGAAGAAAAATGAAACTCAAGAGGCTAAGTGAGGGATTTTTCATGAGTTTCTCCATATAAAAAAATGAAAATATTGAGAGAATTGACTGAAGTTTGCTGTTTTTCTTCTGAATTTTTGACAGTGGCACCAGATCTTTCCAGTTTCAAGATGTTTTCTCTCTTGAGAATGAAGATTCCGATGACACAACAACTCTGATAGACCAGAAGGTGATTCATACCTAGTTTTGATTTTGGAAACCATGTCCCAGATATTTTTTTGTCTTTGCTCCATCAAGACTCACCACCTCCTGACGAAGTATTCTTAAATGCAGGATAACGTTTTTGTGATGTCGAATAAGAAATCAAAATATCCAGTACTTCAAGTAGATTTAAGGTCATTCCTTTTATTTTATGTCTTATACTGTCTTGTGTGTGTTGTAGGATCATGCATGTCTTTCTGACAAAAAGGCAAAAGCTGATGATGTAGGGGTTTATGTTGTATATTGTTTTGATATTGTTATTTTTCAACTTGACATTACATTGTATTGTGTAGGCTAATTTCAGACTTGGTGGTTGTTATAGTCTCTGCTGCCATTGGCGGAATTATCTCTTCTTGTTTGGGACAACCGGTCTGTGCTTTGCTGCTTGTTTCATGATCTTGTCATTTTTGTTGGCTCCTTATTCTTACCTTTGTGGTTGCATTTATAATCATGAATTTTACGTTTCGAACTGTGGAAATGATGGTTCCCTACTAATTATCTGTCAGGTCATTGTCGGCTATCTTCTAGCAGGATCGATTATCGGACCAGGTGGTTTGAAATTCATCAGTGAAATGGTGCAGGTATGTTGTCTTGTCTGGTCCAGTATAAGGACTTCCGAAGGTGAAATCATTTGTGAGTTTAGAATTGAGGATACTGCTTGTAGCTATGTTGGGTGTGAAATAAAACTAAATTAATACTCCAAGTGCCTGCTTATGTGTTACTGCTCAATAAGAGCAACAGAACAATTCAGACGCACCTTCCAAATCAGTTGTCATATGTAAAATTTAAAGAATTTTACAAATATCTTTATTCTAAAACTTTTGGGTTTGTCTCTTCAGCAAAGTAAATTTTCTGGATAACTAAAATTATACAGTGTCAACCATCTCTAACATTAGGTGGATTTATACTAAAAAGCTGATACTAATATGTTGTTGCTACTCAGATGTATTTATTATTATTATTATTATTTTCCATATTGTGTTTGAATTTATGGTACATTCTTGTGTCCCAGGCATGGCTTGCCTTGTCTCAAGGCTCATAGTCTAATCCTTCTCGGTCATTCTTTGTTGCTAAAAGCTTTGATAATTTTTTATTTCTTTGCCTACCTTTTTATCAGAGCTTTTGCGTCTTTCTATCTACTGCTATTCTGCTTAATTTAAAGGCTTAATGCTACTTGATGTCCTAACATACCTTTTTTTTGTCTTAAATGTATATTGATGGGGTTAACATAAAAATTATGTTTATTAAATTTTCTTTTCTTTTCTCTCTTTATTTATTTCCTCCGACCTTTCATATCACAGGTTGAAACCGTTGCTCAGTTTGGTGTCGTCTTTCTTCTATTTGCTTTAGGACTTGAGTTCTCTCTATCAAAGGTATCTTATTTGCTCTTAAGCTATCGTCTGAAAATTATTTAACGTTTCTTGTCTTGGTTATTGGACTATGTTATTTTTGTATCTTTGCTTGTCTAGAGTGTCTTAACAAGTAACTGATGCAGCTCAAAGTTGTGGGTCCTGTTGCTGTTCTTGGCGGGCTGCTTCAAGTAGTGATTTTTATGTTCTTGTGTGGCATAATTGCAGTGGTATAGTTCGCATATCCTGTTTGTTTTTTGCTAGGGGAATTTATTGTATTCGATGCTAATTTTACATGATGCCACTGCTACAGTTATGTGGAGCAAAGTTGTCGGAAGGGATATTTGTTGGTTGTTTTCTCTCAATGTCATCAACTGCAGTGGTAAATATCTAATTTAGTTTCCTTCCTATAAGGATTATTAGTGAATAATAAAGACTGTGAACCGAACTACTTATCTATTTCCCTGTTGATTATCTTGGTCTAATTTAAAAAACCCTCCATATTATTTCAACAGGTAGTTAAGTTTCTGGTTGAGCGGAACAATAGTGATGCTCTTCACGGGCAAGTGACAATTGGAACCCTTATTTTCCAGGCAAGCTTTAACACTTTGTTAATTAGCTACCTAAATATATCAATCTCTTTTCTCATTATACATCCATTTGACTGAGACCCTTTCCTGTCTGAAAAACCTTCCAGGATTGTGCTGTTGGCTTGTTATTTGCTTTGCTCCCCATTCTGGGTGGTAACAGTGGCATTTTCCAAGGAATGGTTTCCATGGGAAAATTGTAAGCCCATATTAATATATCTTGTTACCTTTGTGACGGCCTGAATCCTTGACTATTCGAGAGTCACTAAATAAAACTTAATTCTTTCATAAGAACTAAAATAAGAACATGAAATAATTTTTATTTTTTCTTCAATCAATAAATACATTTTAGTTTTATCATGTAGCTGCGAAAAATGAAAGAAAGAAAATAATTCTAACATAACAATTAAAGTTGAAATTCAAAGTTTTGTTTTAAACGCAACACAATTTATTAATCCTAGCCTCATTACCATCTCCACGTTGACTGCCTCGAACCGTCAGTTGCCTGAAAGGGGGAATTATCATAGGGTGAGATTTATAAAATCTCAATAAGTACGCCATGAATTATTATTGTGTATAACTTAAAAGAGCATAATAATCATAATCAGTATAATGGAGACATAAGAATTTACCGAATATAGGTTGTAAGAATTCTTATGTGTAGCGTTACTAAACTTCGGTCCCCTTAATATAATCATAATCATATTATAGCATATGGGACCCATAATAATTTTCTTGAAATTCATAACATAACAATAATTCAACATAGGCATCGTACTTACAGTGAATTTTGAATGAAAGAATAATAGAGACTTGATCCCTCTACAATTTCCACCTCGGCTTATGAATGTGTGTATATATTATTTGGACTAAAAAAATTATACTAGTGAGTGGTAGCATGTGAATATGAATGAGGGGTTTAAATAGGAGAAAATTAGGCATGCATCTTTAAGGAAAATTTCATGATGGTGGAATTTGCCTTGAAATTTATGAAATGAGCAAGAATCTCTCTATCATTCCTTCATTTATGCATTCACACTACACATTACCTTATGTTTGGTCAATCAAGCATAAATCAAGAATTTTACCTTATGTTTGTTCAATCAATCAAGCATAAATCAAGAATTTTACCTTATGTTTTGTCAATCAAGCACAAATCAAGAATTTCACCTTATGGTTGGTCAATCAATCAAGCAGAAATCAAGAATTTTATCTTATGCAAGTGTTTGACCAAGAATTTTATCAAAAACATGTGGGAATTAGCACTTATGGTAAGTTTGCTACAAGGTCCTAGAAAGTGGATTAACCCTCAAATGAGCCCCTAAATTTTCAATTTTGATAATTAGACCCGGAAATTCGGATGCGGGTATTATAACCTTTCTTATCAATGTTGTTATATTATTGACCTGTTTTTGGTTATTGACTCAGGCTGCTCACCTTGTCTATATATCTTGCTGGGGCAGCTGTATTGATTTGGTCTTTTGTTCCTCAGTTTTTGAAGTTAATGACGCATCTTTCCTCACAAGTGGGTGTTTTTAAACATTTTAAATTTTCTGTCATGCTTCTCTATTTTCAAATAAATATATCTTGGTTTAAAAGGCAGAAGACCACTGCAGTCGAAAACAAATATATGAATGCAGACATCTGATTTCTAAAATTCTCTAGTCATTTTTATTTTAGATAGAATTTGCATAATCAATGCCACTAAACTTGTAGCCAGAATCTACCACACTGTGAGGGCCTATGGTCCTAGTTTTGCTATGTATATACTAGGGAGAAAAGTTGGTATCTAATTCTGCAACGGAATCTTTTGCATGGACATCTCTTATCTGTTTAAGTAATATCAGCTTATGATGTACTGTACTTGTTTTTCCAAAAAAGATATATATGATATGAAGTATGACTGGTTCCAAAATATAATTCAGGTATCTTACCTGCTAAAATTGAGGAGAAAATAGATGGTGAAGAAATTCTTTCCCTCTGCACGTGTTCTTAGCACATTTTGGATTCTGAATAGCTTGGAATTCCTGATTCTTATATATGTTCCTGCACCAGACTTGTGAAATTTGTTTTCATAATCTTTCAGACAAATGAACTATATCAGCTAGCTGCGGTGGCCTTCTGCTTGTTGTCAGCTTGGGTAAGTGCCGCATATTCTGTTTAATTAGGTAAATTAGCACATTTAAAATGTGACCCTGGTGATGTATAATGTTGTTTGTTGTTTTATGATTTGCTTCACAAGTTGTGAAATTTTATGTGGAGAGGCAAATATAAATAGTTGATAAGAATAACATAATGATTCAAAGTGCAGAAGCTAAACATGACTGTAATTTAATTTATAAATCAACTGGGGAAGAATTTTGTCATCATGAAGATGATTGCTTTTCTGGGGGTGTCTGGAGTTGGTCGAAGGTAGGATGGAAATGATATGCATGTGGCCCTCTTTAATTGCTTAAACTTTTAAATCTAATGGTTCAACATGGTAAAAGGTCCCCGGGTTCAAGTTTCACTGCACACACATTTAATGAAATTGTACATAACTAAGGGTTTGGTGGGAGAAAATGAACCCACCCCACCTACACGTGAGAGATCATGTTGAAGATAAGATTTAAATGATATACATGTGACCTCTCTAACATTTTAACATTTTAAATTAAGGGTTCAATATAACTAATAATGTTGCAGAGCTGAGATTGCATTTGCTTTCTGATAATGTGCACATTTAAACACGTGAATCAGTTTCTAAAGAAAAAAACTAGATCATATGAAGTATTTTTGCAAAACTTCATATGGGACTCCAGTACCCATGAAAGTTTTAAGGTTGTTTTTTTGAGTAAAGTTGGCACCATTGGTTCAAGAGATGACATTCTCATTACAAACTCAATAAATGCTTAGACAAATTGCTTTGACTTTTGTGCAATGTTATGGCACTTGTAGAGTGAAGTACAGCCATGGATCTCCAAGTTACTTTTCCTGCCAATATATTAATGTCCTTTCGCTGAATTGAAACAGTCGATATTCTTGAATGCAATGAATTTTGAATTACTGGCTTCTATAGTCTAATCTGTATTGATGAATTATGCGCATCATATTCAAATATGTGAGCATTTGGCCTTTTTTTTCTTTCTCCAAGCACTAACTTATCTAGAATTTTGGACATTGCTTTCTACATGAAAAACCTGTGTTTCAAAGTACTCGTCTGCTTTTCATTTCAGTGCAGTGATAAACTGGGACTTAGTCTTGAATTGGGTTCGTTTGTTGCTGGCGTTATGATATCCACCACTGACTTTGCACAGCATACCTTAGACCAGGTATGTTCTTGAATCTGCATTTTTCTTGAATAATTTATACAGAGATAAATGAAGTTCTCAGAAAAAAGTTCTGTTCATGTTCTTCAGAAATTCATGCAACCGCTCAAGAATTTGATGAATAGGTCAATATGTTGAATTCTTTGTCTATAGCCTTAGAGGCTTCTCTTGTCATAAACTAGTGCTTCCACTTCGCATTCAAATAAATGCTTGGATATTGTATACATTTAATTGCTTCTGCTGTTTTCATGTAATTAGGCTTTTGCACTAGTTGTTGCCTTGGTGGAAAAACTGGGATAATCATGTGAAATTGATGTGAAATGAATAAAAAACTAATGATAAGAGGGTCATAGCTCTTATGTTATTTCATTCACCGACTGAAGTTGACATAATTGAACATGTCCATAAAGCTAAATATATGGGTGCTTGACATCCAGTTGTATAAAGGTGGAAGCCTCAACATTTGCTGGAAAACAGCTGTGTTTCCTCTTTACCTTATTTGGCATTGAAACTCCAAATCTTACCAGACACAGGCATGTGATAATTTGACTCACTGTTTCTGTAGACAAAAAAATAGGGAGCACTTACTCTGCACGTACTAGCCTTGTCACTGCCTAAAATTGTCACGCAGTTTATGGTGAAGTGATCAGTTCTCAAATACATTGCATCTTGTAGGTGGAGCCAATTCGTAACCTCTTTGCTGCTCTATTCCTTTCTAGTATTGGAATGCTGATACATGTACAATTCCTGTGGACGCATGTGGATATATTGCTTGCCTCTGTTATTCTGGTTATAGTTGTTAAGACAACAGTTGCTGCTACGATCACAAAGGCCTTTGGTTACAATCTTAGGACATCAGTTATTGTAAGTCTGTTTCTTAAAATATTTTCATTACTGAAAAAATGTAGAAGACTATGATTTACAAGTCTCCAAATATGTCAGGTTGGAGTGTTACTGGCGCAAATTGGAGAATTTGCATTTGTCCTCTTAAGTCGTGCCTCAAATTTACATCTTGTCGAGGTAATCTTTCCTGATCATAAAGTAACTCTAATTTAGCCTTTTCTTGCAATGTACAAAAATTTTAAGACTACCTAATGAGTTGAACATTTTTCAGTCAGACATTATTTTCATGTTCATGGGCATAGCCAAATCTTGGTATCTCATACTGTACATGATATTATTAAGGTTATGTTTAGTTCATAGTTTGCAAGTGATGATCTTCATTAATTCATATGTTGAAGTAGATAAACAACTTAAGTTGTCAACTCTTTTATGTTTCTTTCCTTTTTCAAAAGAGGATAATGGATTCACTCCTCCCACCAAAAGGAGGATCGAATCCAGGTCATGAGTCTAAGATTTCGCTCTTACCACTTGAGCTAGGCCTTGAGTTATCAACTCTTTAATAGCTGAGACTTATAAACAATGTGGTTCAACATGATATTAAAGCGGACAAATGTCTAATGTACAAGTCTTGCCATCACTTATTTAAGAAAATTGTGCATGCGTCATGCCTTTCATCTTTGATGAAAGAATGAATTTTACTTGCACGGGGTGGCGTGGGTTGGTATGTTAAAGACAATTTAAATAAATATATTTGTCCACTTCCCTAACTGTTTAATCTTTCTGTTTATTTTCAAATTGTGTAGCCGAAATAATCTACTTGAATGTGGTACCTTAACTATATACACAATCCAGAGCTCATTTAACCAATTTCAATGAATGTTGAGTTGGAAAATATAAAATGCTTATCTTCACTTATGTATGTAATGTGACATGGTTTTTGGTGCATAAATTACTCAGCAATATGAGATATAACCTTGTCGCTATGATCTAACTAGATCTTGCAAAATGAGTCTTATTGCATTTTTTGGTTTCATTACATATTTCTACCTTTGGAAATAGTAACATTAGCTAATAGCTAAACTCGATGCTTGCTGTGAAGGTGAGGTTAAGTTTGTCCAATTCTCTATTCATAACCAATTTGTCAAATGTAAAATAAATAAATCAAGAGGACGTCGATTAGTTGATGCAGTTTTAGTTAAAAATAATACAATTCAAAGAAATTAAAACGGATTGCAAATCTACCAGTCAGTGGGAGTTAAATGGAAAGGAAATTGTTTGTTGCTCTTAATGATTGAGAGAAAAGCAAGGATCCATTTGAACTGAATGCAATTTTCTGGTGCTGCTATGCATGATTGTTTTTCTTTCGTAAAGATTCTGTTTTCTAATTGCTCGTTTTCTATGCATTACTAGCTGCTCAATTGCCTTAAATTTGTTTTCCCTTACTGTACTACCATTAGAAACCTATTTTTCTTCCTACTAACATTGTGTCAAAAGTTCAGGGGAAGATGTATCTTCTTCTTCTTGGAACAACAGCTCTGAGTCTTGTGAGTTTCTTTTATCCTCTGATCGCCAAAGAAACTCTCTATGCCTTCATTTATTAATTTAATAATTTTAATGATGCTACACAGGTGACTACTCCTGTTGTATTTAAATTGATACCAGCTCTGATGCACCTGGGAGTTCTTATGCATTGGTTTCCATCGGAGAATGGCACTAATAATGAGGTGATACGTCATTTGGAATGGTACACTAGCACATATGCACACACTTGGAGCATGCACAGACTACATAAAGAATACAGGAAATGATTTGGCCAACACACTTATAGCATGTTTGGTAGGGAGGATTGGGTAGCAATAGATATTGATAAGAAACTAAAACTTGTTTTATTTTGTCAAGTCATGTCCAATACTGAGCACCAAATAAGCATACAAGTTCTTTCCGCAGCAGTGGCTGCCCAGTGAAAGACAATTTTTAATTTACCCTATGTTTGGCCCCCATTTTTTCGAAGAGTGATTTTAAACGTGTTCTCTCATAAAATAATTTTACATGTAAATGGAAAACATTTTCTTATTTTTTAACAACGTATTATTCAAAAAATCACTATTTCAAAATACATTTTCTTACAGAAATGGCGCTCAAACATATCTTTTATAAACTAGTGCTGCAAGTTTTTACTCCAATGGAGGTGTAGACTTGTGCAGGTTGCTGAATTTGAGAGTATTTCTCAATGACGGGGTCCAAAATTGAAAATAAAATTTCTTTTATCTACCCCGACCTTCTGTTACGTGGATGCTGTTGTTCAACTTTGATTTCCTAGATTCTTTGTTTTGCTGTTAATTGCCAAAGTCGACTTTTCTGTGCTTTTTCTTCAATGGAAACAAAAGGGCAGAAACTACCAGAAACCGAAAACCCTTGTATATTGATTATTTCAATATCTTTTCAAATAAGTAGAATACTCAAGCATGTACATAGTAAAGATAAAAGAAACAAGGATTTTTTATTTATAATCTTTCATAAACCTTACAAAATTATCATTATTTTGCAGGAGAAAGTCTCCATGATTGAAGCACATGACAGAGTCTTGTAACACTTGGTCTCCTTGCTTCCTACTAGATTTGAAAATTCTTGCTCTCATTTTGCCGCGTATTTCCATCGAAGGCATATATCCGGTGTAATGTTAATGCGGGGTTCATGTTTCACCAGCTCTAGAAATTATTCTTGCAATATACATTTTCGAGGAATTGGATGCCTCAAAGCATTTATCCAGACTAGTCTTGAGAAAACTAGGTTAGATTTTTGGTGTACATAAAGAGCACGACACGATGTATTCAACGGAAATGTAACTATCCATTTTTTTTTAATAGAAATCGATTCATGCCCTACTTGGTAAAATTATTGGTCAATGAGTTATATTTGAACAGGTTGCCTAGTTTGATTCAATATCCCTATAGATTATTTCCTTTTGAGGTTGTTCTCGAGTTTTATTTTTAATAGTATAGAGTCTGTTTGTGCTATATTTTTTAAATCATTTTCATGAAAAAGTTGACCGTTGGAATAGAATTTGAGTTCCGCACATAATACAGTCAGTCAACAATTGCGGCTTGAAGATAGATATAACGGTAAAAAATTTCATTTTTTATTTCCCAAAAAGTTGGCTCAAACAAGGGCATAGTATTTTATGGGGGTGTTTGGAAGTGATTTTTCACTCAAAAATGATTTTTTGATCATTATTTCATTATTTCAACTGTAATTTTTTACCCTCTCTCACAAATAACCCCACTTTTCTCTTAACGATTAAAAAATCAATTCTCAAAATCTCCACCGAGTATGGCTTATATTAGCTCAAAATTTAATTATTATAATTATTTATCCATTTAATTAATTTATTTTTTTACTATATTTTTCACACTTAGCAAAATAAAATTTCTTATTTCTTTCATATTTCGCAGTCAAATATCTCAAAAAAGAAAAGAAAAAATCATGGCCAGCTAAAACCATTGGAATTTTTATTTTATAAATTGGCAAAATCCATTTGATTATTAATAGATCTAAAAAGGCGAAAAGAATAACCAAAAGAAAGAAAATCAATTAGTTATTCGTCAAAATTTTATTCAATGTAACAAAATTTTGTTTATCTCATGTTATTTTGACAAAGATCAGAGAGCATAGGCATGCAATTGCAATATGCGACCATTTTCTAATTGATGAAGACCCGGGAAATTTCAACTACATTCGTTAATTCTCTTTGAATTACTATTATTATTATTATTACTTTTAGGGGGTTTGCGGGGGAGGTGGTTCATAGAATATTATTATTCGCTTTAAGCACTGGATTATCCTAATTTTATGTTGTTATTTATATTATTTTTGATAATATTTCAAAATCGTTACTGGAAATTAAACCTCCGTTTTTTCCTATAATTTCTTCTTCGAAAGGCAAATAATCTCATCAATGCAAATTGCATCTAGGTGAAAGGAAAAGATGATTTCAATCTTTTCATCTTCAACTAACAGAATCAAGCGAAAAAAAAAAAAAAAATGAATGCAAAATTTGAAACCTAAAAACCTATGGACATCGCTAACTGTTCTGAAGTTGAATTGATTGTAGTTCTGCAACTGAGTAGAAGTTTTTTCAAAATTCAGAAAGAATGCACTTTTTATTACCAAAGAAGCTCTATATTTCCACCACTTAATAAAGAATAGCATTTTGGGGCTTCTGAATTCAATGGCCTCTGATGCTCGGTAAAAATAGGACTAGCCATAATTTCAATATTCAGCTGATTCCCAAGCGTCTGTAACAGTAGAATATTTACGTTAGATGCAGAATCAAACAAGCTAAGGACTGTGGAAAAAATGAACACTGACGAGTGGATTTGAAAAATAAAAATTATTAAAAAGATCAAAAGACTTCCATTTTGCTTTTAGATTCATAGCTTTAATCCTGCTACCTGTTGTTGGACCATCCTCCAGTTTCTGATACTCTAATCTGACCTCCGCATTGATTTGGCTTCACATGACATTGCTGTATTTTTAAGTGA